AAAATGGAGTGAACCACGTCGCACCAACACTCGCAAATGAATTAGAGATGGCTGTGCGACTGGGAGGTGAGAAGGACCATCTTGTACACATGCTTTCTCCAGGCTGCGAGATGATAGATGCGAATGGGAAAGTAGGACGACCTGAACCGCACAAACATTCGCAATTTAAACCAGATGGGAGTGCGGCTGAAGGAGTAAAGAGTTGACCCGCAAGAACAAGCTCTAGGATCAGTGCAACATGGCTGTGCGGGTGAGCAAGGACCAGGACCATCTCGCACACTAGACACTTGAACCAACTGAACCGGGTCAGTACCCAGTTTTTCCTGGGCTAACCCGGTCCGAACCAGCTTTCTTTAAATAGTTTTTAGGATTTTTTTTCCAAGACTTACCTCTTATTCCCTAAAACTGTTTGCCTCTTTTGTTTAAGATCCTATTTTGAGAGAGACATCTCCCATTTTCTATTTAATCCAAGAGAGTTTTAAAGTTTGAATCATCTTTTCATCATCATCTATCCATCTTCTATTTATTTTTATCAACTAATCATGCCTAACTACTCTTCTTGCAAAGGAATCAGAGACTTAATCATGATTAGCGAGTAGTCACCTCATTAGGGTTCTAGATATATAGGTTAGGGTGTTTAGGGGTTTGACTAAGCATGCTTAGGACTAGATTAATGCATCTCTGTATTGTTTAGCTGATCTTAATGCTGGATTTTAGATGATCTCTTTAACCCAAATCTTAGGCATTGCATCAACCCAAAAGGTGTTTGATGAAATGCCTGAACCAGCTAAATCAAGAGTTTATTGTTTGATTCACATGGGAATATTTTTTTGAGCATAGATGGTATAATAGGATTGGTGTTTAATGCATTTATTTCATTGTCTCTCTAATGATGATTAGGTATGAGCAATGTTTGAAATTGTGTTTTGATGCTTGAGAAAGATTGAAACTTGCTTTGAATCCTAAGCTGCTTAGATCATTCATCATCATTGTCATTGGCTACTTGATTAAACCCTGATGTACCCTAGCCAACTATCATGTCTAGAGCTCTAAGTTTCATCATATTCATATCATCATTAATCATTTGCTATCTTGTTTATTGCTTAGTTTAAGTCTTTAATCTTGTTTGAAATTGGTTTAGTGTCTCTTGTTACCAAACCTATCTTGTTTTAGGTTGGATTAAGTTTGAATTCTCATGAACTACTGTCTATCTTCACACTTATGGATTGACTACCTTTTATGCTGCAACTGCTTAAGGGGATTGATACCCACAAGAACTAAAACTCTTGTTTATCAATTAATGAAATTTGATTGTAATTTGATTGTATATTCATAGAAACAAGTATTTTCATAGAATAGAAATTTGATTGTCTTTTTATTTGAGATCATTGTATCATTTTTATTTAATGAACTCTATAATATGTCTTATTAATGATTATATATAAATTATCAAAACTAACCAACCGTGTACTTAATCTGTTTCATGATAGATTAAAATGTTTTTAAACTGATCCGTAAAGAACTACAGTTTTGAATCTTGAATACATATTTTAATTTATTTATTTAAATATATTTGAACTGATTTTCAAATATAGTACAAATTAGTTATAAAAATTCAAATGAAAAATGTTTAGGGGATTTGTAGTCATCTTTGGAGGCAAGTCTCCTTTAAAACCAACAAACACGTGAAGACCCGAAAAACACGATGGAATGATGTTTTTTGATGGCTCTCCGACGCTCAAGTCAGTAAACAGTGAAAGAAGGAACACAAAGTGAGAACTGGAGAGAGAAAAGAAATCGGAAAATGAAGAAAAGAAATTACACCGAGAGTTCCTGAGGAATGTGGAATCTGCTCAGACCTATGTTTGGTGGGATTTTTGAGGTCGAAAGAGAATAAATGTAAGAGTTTAGGTCTGGAGAGGAAGTATTGAGGTGGTCGGAGTAATGACCGGAAGTATTGAGGTGGTCGGAGTAATGACCGGAAGTATGAGTGTGCTGAAGCTTAAGGTTCATGAGTAAGATAACATGTACCTTATCTTAGCGAAGAGATTGAACTCCTTTATCGTTGGAAAGGGTTAAATATTTATAGCATTTTACCTAACTTAGAATAGTATACCAGGTCGGTCCTCGGGTCGTGGGTTTTGCGGGTTGGTCTATGATCTGGCTTGGTTGGATCCGAATCTTATGCTTGCATCATGCCTCTAACGGTTTCGCCAACTTTTCTTGGCGTGTTCTTCTTGCTGTGAGACCGTTCCTTGGTGCATCCCTTTCACTCTCAGCATACGGGTTGGATCGGCGATTAGATACAGTATGGTCTTTGCTGATCCTGCTTTTCTTCTGCCTTCTGCGAATGGTCATTTTCACCTGACACATGAAAGCATAGTGCATTAAATGCCGACCTCATGGGTTTGTAAAGAGTATGGGAAATCGAATCAATCCAAGGCATATTCTAACTGTCGAATGGAGGGAAACATTCGCAAGGTCAGAAACGAGGAATTCGAGACCAAGTGGCCTCTCGTGCCGGATCTCTCGAATCCAAAGGATTCAAGGCCCGGTGCTATATGCTTAGGTCGTATTGAACCGTAAGCCCAATATGAATCATAATTTGGCCAAAAGGGGCCATACCTAAAAAAATTATGAACATCACGTGCAAGCACAAAGTTCGTCCACATAAAAAGGATCGAATTTATCCCAACAAAAAATATTACAAAATTTTCAATAGATTTTTTTTTTTGAAAATATATAGATTGCTTATTATTTCAAATAATAGAATATATTTAATATATTAATAAGTAAACAAACTAAGTACACTTCTGATTTAAATTTATATTTTTTTAATAGTTTTAAAATATATTTCTATAATTTTTTATTTTAATTATTTCTTTTTATTTATAATAATATTTTTAATGTAACTAGATTATGGATCCATGATGTGCACGTGTTTACTTATATATATACATATATATATATATATATTTATGTCTTTAACACATTGTTCTCGTGATCATCCTCAATGTTTAATTGATTTAATATTGTTTCATTTTATTTATTTATTTGAATTATAATTATGTATATAGTTGTTTGATATTTTTTTTCTTTGTGATAATTTTCATGATTCCATGAATATGTTTTTTGATGTATAACTATATTACATTTGTTATGGCAAATGGTTGGTAATAATAAAAAAAAATATAACACAGAACTGCAATTGTTCTACAATCAATGATGACTCCTAAGAGTTAATTGCCAATTTAATAATAAAACTAAATAGTTGATAAGAAAATCAAGTAGAAATGCATTAAAACACATCAATCAATATATATTTTCGATAAGATATATATTGGTGATGCCAACATATCTCATTCACTACCAGTAGTGTTGCTGCTCTTCTTTATTTCTGAGTACCTATAAGCATAAAATTATTATTATATAAGATTGACTAATTTAGTAATTTAAAATCTTTTTTGATAAAAAAAATTATACTTTTGCTTTCATATTACCTCTTTTTGAAAGAGTCAACTTTTTCTATTTCAGAATTAAACAAAAATCTTGAAATTCCTTTGACTTAAACTATTTGAAGTATTCCTAAGATTTTGGAAAAAAAATATATTGAAGGATAGTGACGTTCATAGATAAAGATTAAGAATGATTTTATAAATAATAAAACATATACCGTTTTTCCAAACAGCAAGAGATAATCTCGTGTACTCCTCCCGCATTATAAAAATTCTCAAATCTCCTCCTCATAATATTTAATTTGTTTCCGATTTATTTTAAAGCAAGAAAAAGGGAGAAAAGCGGTGAAATACTGGCAGATCCTTACTAAAGTTTCATATTTACTAACCCAACCACGAAAATCCACATCCAGTCTATCATATCGGGTTGAATCCGAAGAAATCGGGTTTAGGGTCAAAAATTGGAGACAAAATTGTGGTAAGTCTGAGAAAAAAAAAATTCAAATTTCAAAATCGTCCTCTCGTCGTCGTCTTCGCCTAGTATTCTCTGGGACAACTACGAGTGATTTGCTGCTGCCTGACTTGAATCAACGCCTCGCTATATCAGGTTCGTTCGTCTTCGTCCTCTGATTTCTAATTTTTATCTAGATTACTTTGTAGATTTCAAGTCGGTTTTGTGTAGAATCCAAAATTTGATTTATATGTTCTCTATTCAGTTGGCAATTACAAAATAGGAGTCATGGATGTAGGCAAGGAAAGAGTGTTTAGATATGCTAGACCAGAACTTTACTCAGATTCCGAATCATCGCAGGAGAAAATGGTTGAAGGAGTTGCCGAATCAGAGACGGATAATAATCAGATAGTGTTGTGGAGGGGAACTGAGGTTGAGGCTGAGGAGGAGGAGAATCAGCCATTGCCACCGTGAGAATGTTCTTCGAGCCCAGTCAGTATCATAATGCAATAAAGCTGGGAACAAGATGTTATATCCACAAAGCTGTTGCTAAATTGGAGTCCCTAGACCTTGAACCACATGAGCTGTTATGGTTTACAGAACACCCACAGTTCAAGCACTTTTGGCATATGCATAGGGCCATGCATGAGGACACAACACACAAGATGATGGGAATGTGGTTGCTTCTTCTTCGGACAGCAAACACAAATAAGAAGAGGGAAGCTTGGTTTGTAGTGAATGGTGTACCAATTCGCTATTCCCTTAGAGAGCATGCCATTTTGTGTGGATTAAACTGTCTCTCGTACCCAGAGGACTATGAGAGCATAGGAATTTCTTCGTTTAAGAATATATATTTCCAAGAAACTGTCCCCTCCCTTGCTGCTGTTGAGAAAAAGCTAGAGTCGATGCGAGGACTAGTTAATCCTGATCGGTTGAAGATATGTGTCGTCTACTTCTTATCCTCTATAATTAGTGGGTAAACAAAAACCGGTAAGGGAGCACCATCTGTTGACCCCTTATTCCTGAGGATTGTGGATGATCTCGAGGCTTGTAAGAGGTTTCCTTGGGGTAGATATTCATTCGATGTAAATATGATGGAGATTGAGCACACAATGAGGCATTTCAATGGGGTCGTCGGAACAGATGCATGGACATTTCCAAGCTTTGTTACTCCATTGGAGGTATGTCACATTATAAAGAATTTGTAACTATGTAATACTATGAGAGTAAGTGTAATTTGTTGGGTTTATGTTAGTTGCTAGCCTTTGAGGCCATCCCATGTCTGAAGAACAAATACAGAGAAGATGTTAGAGGAGCAGGGAGGGGTTGTCCCCGGATGTGCAGGCAGAAGTTCCAACCATTCACACTAAAAGGTTTTCCTTTGTCGGAACTCTATGAAACACTGGGTAACACTAGGGTCATCAAGAGTATATTGCAACCATCCGAGGATGAGGTAATTATGCTTGCGGGAGTCATGGAGAGGAATGAAGAGGAAAATATCGGTGATATCGTTCCTGAAAATTGGATGAGGCGTTTAGTTGAGGAAAAGAAGCCGATATCTGGAAAGAGATATGCAAGATCGATGTTGATGCCCGAGATAATAAGGAGTGGGTAAACCGTCCTGTAGCGGCTAAGCATAATGTGGGGACGGAGAAGGAGGCGCCTCTTGGAATTGTGGAACAGCTTCAGAGCTTGCAGAAGAGTATGGACGCTCAGTTTCTCCGAATCAGTGCCCGAATGGATGGCTTTGATACAAGACTCTGCTCTGTAGAACAATATGTAAAAGAGACAAGAAGAGAAAGGGAAGGACCAGGAGATGAGGGAGGAGAAGTTTTTCGAAATGATGTAGAACATGAACATGATCAAGCTGGAGAGAAACTTGAAAGTCTGGTGAAGAAGAAACAGTCGAAGAAGAAACAGCCGAAGCATAAGGAGCCGGAGCAGAAGGAAGCGGAGCAGAAGGAAGCGGAGCAGAAGGAAGCGGAGCAGAAGGAGGCGGAGCAGAAGGAGGCGGAGCAGAAGGAGGCGGAGCAGAAGGAGGCGGAGCAGAAAGAGCCGGAGCAGAAAGAGCCAAAGCAGAAAGAGCCGGATATGAATGAGGCGGAGCTGAAAGAGGCGGAGCAGCTTGTAGCCCGATCTCCTTACCTGCTTAGAAGTAAGGAGGTATTGAAGTTTGAAGAGTAATATCCATTTTTTTTTGTAATACTTTATATTTCATGGTAACACTATGTTGTATTACTTGGTATGTGTAGGTAGAACCAGACGGTGCTGACGGTGTGAACGCAGAAGTGGGTGCAGGTAAACGGAAACAAGAGCAATCAAAGCTAGGGCCAAACACAAAGCAGAGACGTTAAGTCTCCTATGACATTTGAAATATGTACTTCTATTTCTATTATTGATTTTGGATTATTGAAAACCAAATATTGGGAAAACTTGGTATTATTGGTGAAACCACATATAAAGCTGGGAACATAGTATTATTAGGTGTAACCATTTTAGTATTATTTGGTGTAACCTAGTATTATTAGGTGTAACCATCTTAGTATTATTTGGTGTAACCACTTATATATGTGGAATACTAGGCCTAAACAGTTTGAGTTAAAATTAGTAGAATAATGTTTGTACACAACATAAGGACAACATAAGGGAGTACTAAACATAGCGAAATGTGCACATACGGAATCCAGAACATAAGAAAGTACAAAAAACAAAAAACATAAGACAGAAAACATCAGACACATTCACCTGTCTCCCATATCAGGAAAAACCCTAATTACCTGGTACACATAATAGGAAGAACCTTCCGCATTCGCGAGTTAAAAAGCAGTAGTCGCAGATGTTCCCTGGTTTATACTCATCATTCCACCAACGCTCCCATCGGTTAACTGTACCGCACGGACAGTGGATAAGAGTATTGAGGCGCAGCAAAAGCGATGGTGGCCTTCATTGAATATCTCTGGCAAACTCATTGGCCAACCAAGATATACTTCTGCAACGAGGTCGCGGGTGCACTTCCTTATTGTTTCCCGGCTTAGTTTGTTGAGGTACTCATCATCCTCCGGATGTTCCATAACAAGTTTCATGAACATCCCGTAGACATATACTGCACGCGTGTACCCTCTATCCGCCGCTTCCTTGATCAGTAGAATCCCTCCAAAATCTTTTCGATTAAAAAAGAGTTGCATACCTCGCATGAAAATCATGCCTGGATTTCGTGCATCATAGAACTCTCTGAAAACATCGATGATAAGATGGACATCTTGATCCTCTGGATGCCCCATATTGAAGGGATCAACTTCAGCGTAGAAGCCAGGGCCTCTGGTGCAGTCTTGAACCTATGACAAATCAAGCGAATCCGTATAAGGTCACCAATTGTGTTAGCCGACTTCGCTAGAACCTTTTCCAGTAGTTCGTCTGGTAGGGCTAGTAGGTAGGAGTACTCTGCCATGGATTTATATATGAAAGTGGTGGAGGCCGAGTTTTGTGGAGAAAAGTTCTGAAACCCTAAGAGAAAATGATGAATTGTAATATAAAAGGAAAATCTGAGAGGAACCCTAAGAGAGAGGAGGAAGGAAAAAGTGATGGATTTGGGAAAGTAATGAAGAAGTAGAATGGATTTTGGAACTTCTTTGCGAACTTAAATAGAGAAAAAGAAAATGGAAGAAGTGAAAGGATGTGAGTAGTCTCTCAGTAGTCACGTCGAATAAACGCGACCGTATGAGAGAGAAAGGAATCTCGAAATAACTACTACTCTCGTAAATGCGTTATTGAAAATATACATTAAGACTCTTATATTTTAGAGAGAGTTATTAATATATAATAAAATTAATTGAACCAAAACATAAATAATTTCTCCAAAGATAAATTATCAAATTACCATAAATATCAAGGTTCTGAGGAAAAACAATAGGAGATTACATATATGAATTGTTAAAAAAAAAATAGGCTTCATTTGAATTTCGATGCCATTCCAGACCTCTTCCTCTTTATATTCTTCATCTCTCCTTTTGAACAGAAACGTAGAAAATCTCATTTATGTTTAAAAATCATATAGCCTAAATTTGTATTCAGTATTATTACTTAATAATGAGTTTTGTCTACAATTAAAATTTAAAAAACCAAACAACATCAACTGATTATTTTCCAGTCATATAGATTTGAACTTATTTTATATTTGTCATGACCAAAACAAATGACTAATTACTTACCCATTCGGATGTCCATGTTTCGGATTTCTCTCTCCACGAATCCGCAATGCATGCACTTCAATCCTATTTCCAGATCCAGAATCAATTCGTGTTCTGGTTTTGTACAACGTTTGTGGGGAGGTTTATGGACTGAGATGTCTTTGTCCTTCTCCTCAACAAAAAAATAGATATAAATTTTCACTCATGATCAGGACATATTTATAAACTATTAAACAGAGAGAATATATTACCTTTGGCAGATTTTGCTTGAATTGTTCCCACAGCTCTACTTGATCTCAGAATCAGTTGGCGAGGTGGCGACTTAGGTTCCACCACACCAAATCTCATGTTCAAAGGTGGTGGGTTGATGATCAGCAGACCATTCTCATCATATTTTTTTCCATCTGATTTCTCCATTTTGTTGACGACTTGAAGAATTCTAGAACTACAATATCTCAAGTGTCTTTTTATAGAGTGGGCAATACTATTCAGTTTTTTCGAATTTCTAGTTTTATGGGGAAGACTACTAATATGTTTAGTGTATAGACAATGTTTCTGGATGATATTTGTCTACTCAGCATTTACTCACGTGAGAGGATTTATTTATTGTATAGACGCGTTGCATGGACGGAAAACAAGGAAAGAGGGAACGGCACGCGTTTATTGATCTAGTTGTACCAGTCTTACGGCTGTTAATGCTTTCATTAACTGCCGTAAGACTGGTACAACTACCAACACTTTATTTGATTTTTATATTAAGTAAATAAATATTTTCCGGTTTATTAGGGGAGAGAAAGGAGATGTGACTTTTAACTGCTCCGCACGATAATGCTAAACGGTTATGAAGGGTATTTATTATATGAGTCGCACCCTAGGGTTTTCCCTTTTTCTTTCCATAAATATAACTCGCTCTCTTTCTTACTCATATCTATCTTCTAAATCCTCTTCTCTCTATTTAGTGATATTGTTTCTCTCTTTATCACTTCAAAATGGCCCCTAAGGTGTGGATCATGACTCATCTGAGGGAGTTGGTGCGGTTTCCGGCGAGTGGGTTCAATGCAGGTCCCGTGGCGGAAGACATTTACGAATGGCAAGCAACGTTGTTGGCCCCCCCTAGTAGTCCATACGAAGGGGCATCTTCTTCATCTCCATCCGTTTCCCACCGGATTACCCCTTCAAGCCACCAATGGTGTTGTGGAAGATGCCGATTCTGCACCCCAACATCGACCAACCCCGCGTCTTCCATCCGATACTCATCACCGCTACGTGGAAGGTTGGAACGACGGTCAAGGAATTCCTCCAAGCGCTCCATGACATGCTGCTTCACCCTAAGGTCGAGGAAGAGGACAACTACCTCGCAGACATCGCACGCATGTGCGTCTTGGAACCGGAACGGTTCAAGAAGGAGGCCCGCCTGATGACCGAGCAACACGCCATGAATTAATTCCCATTAATAATTAATTCATGGTGTTTTTCACAGTAAAATAATGAATTTTATGTTTAAATATATTTTGTTATAAAATATTTATTATTTAAAAATTATGAATGTAATATATTTATTAACAGAAAAATTATTAGTAAAATTCCTTGTGTTATTCTATCCACTATATTATCTCAGTCGATACATAAGGAATCCCTAATAAGAAAATCCTAATACTCTGTATAATTGAAAATTTGTAATACTCGGTATCATTTGGTGTAACCACATGTTTTTGGGATAATTGAAAATTTGTAATACTCGGTATCACTTGGTGTAACCACATGTTTTTGGGATAATTGAAAATTTGTAATACTCGGTATCACTTGGTGTAACCACATGTTTTTGGGATAATTAAGAATTTGTAATACTCGGTATTACTTGGTGTAACCACATGTTTTTGGGATATTTGAGAATTTGTAATACTCGATATTACTTGGTGTAACCACATGTTATCAGATAATCGAAAATACGTAATACTCGGTATTACTTGGTGTAACCACATGTTTTTGGGATAATTGAGAATTTGTAATACTCGGTATTACTTGGTGTAACCACATGTTATCGGATAATCGAAAATACGTAATACTCGGTATCATCATGTAATCCCGAAAATCAAAAATATGTATCACTTGGTGTAACCACATGCTTTTGGAAAATTGAGTAAGTCTTGAGTACAACCATGAATCGTAACTACTTGAACAGGTAGATAGTTAAAGAAACAGAGGCCACAACAAGAACAGATAGAACAACCATGTCCTTAACTTCCTTAAATATCTTAGTTCGTCGCGTCTGTTCCAGTTCCCTATCCATTTCCATCAAAACCAAGTCACAAACCATCTCATAAAGGAGAGCCTGAGACCTCCTTGCCTCAACTATTTCCTCCTTCAGGTTGTTTACCGATTCCTGTAGCTGGGAAATTTCCGTCGAGTAAATCCGGTTCATGGTTCTAGTCCAACCACTCCGGCCCTGCATCTCGGTCAAATCATGCCGAACATCTGCAATCTCTTCTAGCATCGCCTCATCACACCACTTGAAGAGATGACATCCGGGATTCTACCAGACACAAACCGTATAAATATTTTTGGTACGAAATTAAAAGCAATCAACAGCTGAACTTACGTATTCCTTATTGCAAGCGAAAAATCTTCTTCCCGGATCCAAAACGGTGTGGGAAGTTTTGATGATTAGTTTACGATGACAATAACAGAATCGCGAAATTCGAGAATCTTCGTACAATTCGGGTTGAGGGCTCCCGCTTGAAATGTCCGAGTCGGACGACGAGCCGAGACTTGGCATTCTTGCAACAAAATGTTGTTTTGCAAACAAGTGAGTGTTTTGTGTTTTGGTTGTGATTTGTGCGTAAACCAAGATATTTTAATGAATTTTGATGTTTGGGGGGAAACTCAAATTTGGAAATGTCTGTTTTGGGGGGAAAACTCAAAATTGGAAATGTTTGAGGTTTTGGGGCGGGGAAAACAAATTTGAGTTTCGTGGATAAACCCGGGAAATAATAAATAATTGTAGTGGGGTCTATTTGTTACCCAATAAGACACATGTTCAAATGAAAACACATGTCTCGTTTATTGCAACTGGGAATTTTAAATGTAGTTGTGCTTTGTTTTCCAGTTATACACATCGTCCACATAGTGTTACTTTTGGTGGATATACCGTATTCGCAGTAATACTG